TCTTTTTGAAAAGTCATTTTGGTAACTAAAAAAGGGAGGGTTGTTTTTACCCTTCTTGGCCCCCCTCGCTCGCAACTCAACAGGATGACGATGTTCATTTTGTTGTCCGATGGCCAAGTTTAGTCTTTGAGGCACTGGGACGCACACTCCAACAACGTGGACGGAGCCAGGGCCAAATCTAGAGCTGATGCTATTTCATTGGAATAAAATGGGGTTGCAGAATTACTGACCGTGTATTTAAGCTTCATATTAGGGTATGCCATTCAGAGAAAGCCTTTGCATGGAACCCAGAGCTACAGACCTCCAATTTAACATATAACACAACCACAGTTGGTGTGTGTGTGTGTGTGTGTGTGTGTGTGTGTGTGTTTTGGGATCTCATGTATCAGCTGTAGATGTATGACTTTTCCTTTTTGACAGCTTGATCAAGAATCCAGCTGAGAGAGCAGATCTAAAGCAGCTTATGGTGAGTGGACCCTCACTGGGTTTTTGAAATATGCACATTACAAGATTCCTGCCCTTGGTATCCGCTGGTTTCATCCAGCATGCTGAAGGGGGTCAGTTGAAGACGGAGCAAGTCCTCTTGCACAACTTCCGCAACTGGGTTTGTTTTAATCCTGATTTGTTTGGGGTGGGCTTAGCACGTTGTGCAAATGCTGCCCGTTTGCCTAGGGCTGAGCATGCGGGTAAGCCTGATAATGGCTTACCCACTAACCAAGTTAAGCACATTGTGTGAACTCAGCTTTGGTGAAGTTCCACATTGCTCTCTCGGGGTGGTTGTGATAGGCAAGAGAACCGCAGCTGCTCTTTGTGAATGGAGGACACATTTCACTACCCTATTTTGGTTCTGGCTAAGTATGTGTAGAGCAGTGTTTCTCAACCTTAGCAACTCTAAGATGGGAGGACTTAGACTCCCAGAATTCCCAGCCAGCTGTGCTGGCTGGGGAATTCTGGGAGTTGAAGTCCACTCACGTGGGAAAGGAGAAGGCATGAGAAAGAGATTTAAATTTTATTTATTTAATTTGTATGCCACCCATCTCCCCCAGTTTAACCCACCCACCCCCCTTTTTTTGGATATAAGAGAGGGCAGGGGAAACTCCAGCAGGCTTTCACGTTTGTTGTTATACCCTCGAACGATAAAGTAGCATTTCTGGAATCCTTGTTTTATCTGTTTGCTGACCTGGACTCCCCCGGCAGGCTGGTAGCCCCAGTACTCCCTCGGGCCGCGATTAGAACCGTCCCGTGTTTCCGCAACTTGCCTTTTCTCACCTCCAGGTCCACGTTTTCATTAAAAGATCGGAAGCGGAGGAGGTGGACTTTGCGGGCTGGTTGTGCTCCACCATCGGCCTTAACCAGCCCAGCACCCCAACCCACGTTGGCGGACTCTGAGTCTCCCGTCACGGTACAAAGAACCCACCAAGCGCTGCTGCTATGCAACTTTCATTCCATGGGGGAGGCGGACGAGGAGCTGCTCACTCCAGACCCACTGACGTGCACTGGGGGGAGCATGGCACGTGGCACATCGGTGTTCCCAGCCACCTCCCACTGTTTAAAGCCATGCTGTTTCGGTCCCGTTTTCTTTTTTTTCCCCTGTCTACTAAAAGTATTTTGCTGCCCCCACCCCGCTTCCGTGCTGCTCCTTCTCAGCTTGTTGTGCCAAATTCTTTTCCAGGTCAAGCTCCCTTTCACGGCTCTGTGTGAACAGCTGTTGTGTTTGATTATTTCCCTGTTAACTGACCAAATGTGATGCTTTCAGCTGCCAGTATGCAAAGTTGGGGTGAATGGTGGATACCCTCCCATTGTGGGAAACCTTGCTGGACGTATCGCTGTCCCAGCCTTTGCAGAGTTGTTCTGTGACCCTTGTGTAACTTGGTGGTCCTCTTAAGCTTTGCTTAGCCAGCCCAGGACAGAACAGTTAGGGGGTGCCTTGAATGAGACGATCCCCAACATGGATTTCTCGCCACTAAGTTGAGATGGAAGTTATGAAGAACCTTTGGGTCCTGAGCTCTCGGGAAAATGTTGGTGGGCCTCAGCCTGAGTAGGGGGGTCTTTTCGTCCTTCCCTTCCAGGTCAACATAAACACACCTGTTGACACTTTTATTTATTTGCCTTGCTGGATATTTTGGGATTGCTTAATGGCATCCATCTCCTTCATCTGTTAATTTGGTATCTGTCTGTTGAGCATGGATGGTAGAAAACTCTCTGGCAGAATCAAAGCCGTTTCTTTCTCTCTTTCTTTTAAAGGCATCAGAATAATTATTTCCCTTCCAGGACAGCTGAGGTTGGTTATGACAAAATTTGTGCATACTTTGTGTTTGAAAATTATTTTAATCATTTTACTCTTTCAGATGTTGAGCAACTGCATCTTACATGAATAAATGTCACAAAATCACTTCAGAGAGTTGTGGGTTTTTAAAAATTGCTATTAGCTGGTCGGCTTTAAGATGGACTTCATGGCGTTTTTGGGGTGGGGGGAGGAGATAACCTCTAGGCTTATCTCTGCATCTGGCATCCCATGTATGATCTTGGAAAAAGGATCTGCAAACACTCAACAGCCCTTAGATGACTCGCTCATCTTTCTTTCCAGAGGGCCGTCTGTGCACTGTAGCACATGGGGTATCACGATGCTCTATACCCTGATGGATGATGATCGTAAAGCACAGTTCTCTCCCCACTCCCCCCGTAATCCAATCTCCAATCGGACTGTCATACCTACTTCTCTGGTCCTGCGCTAAATTCACTTATGAGTTTGCCTCCAATTAAGAGGAAAGAGTGGCTGAGACTGGGGTGACCGTAAAGGCAAGTAATCAAGAGTGTGACTGACTCTTCCCCCCCACCCAAAAAAACAAGGTTGCTGCTGAGATCGAGTAGCAGAGGTCTCCCCAGTCTTGGTGGGACAGACCTAAAAAGAGACGGGGCTTCAATCATGCAGGCACAGCTGCCATCTTGACTTTTTCAACCCCACCCTTGCAGATGCTCCTGTCAAGTAGGAACCCTTGGCGGCAGCTGCTTCCTCCACTGCAGCAACTCGGAGTATAGGAGGCTAGAGGGAGACGGACACACACACACACAATTAAAGGGGGGTGGTGGTGGTGTGGAGACCAACACCTCTCTCCCTTGGGTGTCTGCCTTTAGATTGCAATTTGCTCCCTTCCATTCCAGATGGGCTGCAGCTGGCTCGCTTCTCACTGAACAGTTGGACTAAGATACTGGATGCAACCCCCAGAAGAGCTGCTAACTCACTGCAGTATCTTGCAAAGTCAAACTTGTTGGGGAAAAATACGTATTCTTCCTACCAGAAACTCTATTTGGGGAGATTTGTAATTCCTGGAGAGACATTTAGCCCAAATAAGGCAAGTATAGTCATTCTGACATCTGTTGGAAAGACTGACATTCCATCTGCCCACTAATGAAATATTTTTAATATTACCCATTGTAAACAAAACGTATTTGTATTCCATACAAGTTTCATAAAACAGGCCAAAACCAACCAGAATAAAGGTGTCTAATATATCACAGCCACATGCAAAGAACTGTAAACGACGTTTTTCATTACTTTTGTGCAATTTATCTCTAGGAGGTTCAGTAAAATCACTGGCACAGAACTGACAACTTTCCAGCCCTTTTCCACCAGGCAGTGGATGTTTCATGGACAGATTATTGCTCCAAAAGCTGCATTTCCCAAATTGCTACTTGTTTTGAAACATACGTCTGCTCTATAAACAACTCACGCTACATACTTAGGCTTCAATACTGTCTTTTTGCAAGCCCCCCTCCCACCCCCGCAATTTATTACCACCTTTGGAAGCTTGCGGGAAGCTGAGTGGCATTTCTGATTGTAGTTTAGTCTCTGTAGCACCACACAAAGTTTAATCGAGCCAAGGGAGGCTTCTGAGTCCGTGATAAAAAACTGGCCTGACAGCAGCATCTGCACACTAGGAATCTGATTCTTCCTCCTCCTCCTCCTCTTCCTCGCTTGCGTGTACTTGCAGCTGCAGTTTAGTCTGATTAATGGCAGTTTCATTGTCCATCTGTTCAAAGCAAAGAAGCAAAAAAACTGGTCACTTCCTGCCAAAAAATATAAATCAGAGGAGTTTCTCCCTGGGGGATAGAGAAACAGCAGATGAGGAACTGCTGGGATTGGCAGGAGTCTATCCAGAGGAGGCCCCATGTTGTGTTCGCACCAGCTTTCATTTTAATTGAAGAGCTTCGAGAAGCTGGCCAGAGATTACCATTAGAGCAAAAATGGAAAAAGCGAGGCCAACTAGTTCCAGTTTGAAATAAGTGCGTTGCGTGCTTTTTAAAAGCCCGCTCTTAATGCTTTTTTTTTAATGCTTATCTACTTATAAGATTCTTATTTCTATTCCCCAGCGGCAGCTGTGGGTAGGACTGAAGATTTTGAACCTTTTTGTAACTTGGGAGATGAATTGGGGGGCCTTAAGAGCACCCATTTTCCGCCATAAACTCCCAATCCTCTAAAAATTGGGCTGTTTCCTACTGGGGATGTTTAAGGGGCAAAGTGAATGCCTTTGCAATGATTGCCTTAAGATGCCCCCACAAAAGTAAAGACTAACATCCACTAATCTGAGCCACAGCTGCTCCTGGAAGAGCACAAGTCACTGGTCAGCCTTTGAGCGTGGCAGAAAGATAAGAGTGCAGCACCCAAGGCCGAACAAGAACGCTTGCCCCATCTTTCTGTGCATGCGGGTTTGAGGACCAAAATAAATCTTTGCAAATGCATCAGGGACAGATGGCAGTAGTGGGTGGGGTGATCCTCTGCAACTCAGTAAACCCCCAGCAATGCAAAACACTCCTCATCAGGTCCAATAGGTCATGGGCCTCAGCTAAGTTTATAGGAAATCCATTTTTACCATTAGAACTTCCCTCATCAACGGTGATCCCCTTCATTCCAAAATCACTCTCTACTGCTTCCAGTTAAAGCCTATTTCAAACTTTCATTGGAACTGAGAGCTTCCCCTTCTTCCATCTCCGAGCAGCTGCTCATAAAAACTGGTTTTTCCCTGGCTGGCTTCTGGGGAAGAAACTGCAGGTTCTGCGCAACACCCACCTGGCATAGAGTCGTACCTGGTTCAGACATTCCCCACATGAGCAGGAGCTGATGGTCCTGGCTGTGTTGCACCAAGGGTTAATTCAAACAACACAGTGAATCCTCAACCACAGGGCCTTGGTTCACACAACATGTCTGTCTAAAATGCAGTTGGTAAGTGTGTGACCATGTTCTGTGAACAAAGCTAACAATGAGGCTAGAGAACCTGGGTTTTCTAGAGAAACAGTCATCAACCTTTTTGGACTGCACATCCTTATCAGTAAAAAAAAATGAGCATGTACCCCCAACATATATAAGTTATAAGTTATATACATGTATTAGTGTACCAACATGTTATGTACATTATAAAACATGCCCCCCAAACAAATTTAAAAAGAGTGAAACAAGTATTCTAATATTGTCTTCCTGAACCCCAGTGAATCATGTTGTGCACCCCAGTTTAAAGATCCCTGTGCTGAAGGATGCAAGAATTCTGTCAGGGAAAGATTTCTCAAGTCATCCTTCTCTCTCCTATTGTGGTTGACGCCTCTTCGTCCCTGCAGAGATGTCTGTAAATCATTGCAGTCACACTAGTGGCAATTCACCCCCCAGCATCATCTTTCTGAGTCCAGCATATCTTCCATGAGCATTTTTAAAATATAAAGGGAGTCGCTGCAACCCGAGCCTTTGCTTGGAAATGTGTTCACCTGCTTGGGAAAAAAACAGCTGAGAGAGTGGGGAGCATCTCCCCCAGGCTTTCTGGTAAGTGAGTGACCAGTGGCAACCACGGTGGCCATGACCATGATCACTGGCCAAAGAAAGCTGCAAGGGAGCTTTTTCTCTCTTCATCTGAGCCGCACACTGTCTTGGCAGCCACCAAACAAGAGAGCTACTCAAGCAGAGCAAAAGGGCCTTACATTTACATGCTCCTCCATCACAGCAGCCGAGGGTGTGAACACGGTCCCTTCCCGGGCGTTGATCATGGACCGAAGAGCCAACTCTTCCACCTGGAAACAGAAAGTAACCATCAGTCTTGAAAGAAGGGTTAAGCAACATACTCATGATGGTCAATCCTTCTTTAACATAATCTCATCACTTAAAGTCAGAAAATGTAGTTCGGCAAGCCAACTGCTGTTGATCCTAGCGCTAAGCCAGAACGATCTCTCAGTGAAGAAAAATGGCAATTTCCTCTCTTGCAATATTTCTTCAATACAGCTGTCTAGCAGCATTTATTTGCAGGTGCATGGTTCTTAAAAGCACAACCATGCAGTCTGTTAAATGTAATGTAATAGCAGATTAGGCAGGAGGAACCCAGCAAATACATTTCTCTTACAGCAGGCAGGCAAAGGAGACTTAGAAAATGTTGCTTTGCATTGATATCCCACCAGTTCTCTTAGATTTCAAGGCGGCACGTGTGGGACCCCCCTCTCATTTTATCCCAGCAACAATCCTGTGAGATGGGCTGAGCTGAGAGAATATGACCAATTTAAAGTCAAACCTGGTTGGGTGATGCCTGCAATTTAGACTCTACTTATGTGATGTGAAATATACAGAAATTACAATAAAGAAATGGATATTCTGTTGTAGAAATGCCCTGTTTTCATGGAATATAAAGCCTCAGGGAGATGTGCCCTGCCCCTACACATTTCAAAGACTGCCACGTCAGGAGGACGAGAAACTCAGCTGGGTTTCTTTTAAAAACAGTGTTTTAACTTACGAGGCCCACGTGGAAAGCTGTTTCTAGGTGCCCAAACAATTGTAAGCAGATCGGCAGAAGAGGAAGTGGAACTGAACATGAGACTTAAGCACTAATCCCATCCGGAAAGTGCATTCCTGGGTGTCTATTTATAATACTACCCTTTGTGCATATGGCTGGGTCTTGCTTTCTTATTCATACCATGGTCTTAGCACCTTGCCAACAGCTGGGCGAACACTCTCAAACTCCTGTGGTATTCAAATAAACACTGCAAACACCAGGTCTGGTGGATGGCTGGTTAAGCCCTTTTATGGCTCTGAGCATGGGGAGACACAGCATACAATGTTCAATGTATCAATCTATGGTCGCCAAAATTCAGAAGGGGTTTGATGCACCTTTTCAGACTCGCACAGTTTATTCAAAGGCATAGGCTTTTGTCTTCCTTGTGCCTTTACCGCACCCTCTGCCTCATATCATTTTCTTCCCATATCAGTTTAGCCACACCATGCGCCTGATGGAATGACTTGCAGTTCACCAAAGCGTATGCCTTTTAATAAAATTTGCTCGTCAGAAAAGGCGCTAACACAGCCATTTAAGAGGTACACAATCCAACCCTTCATCAGCAAACCCACTAAGCTGGGTTCACACAAAATGCTATGCCACAAAGGAAATTAAACCAAAATTAACACCATGCGAGTTTAGCATGTTGGGCAATGCATCTGCTAGGTCTTTACTGTCCTGGGCCAACGTGTTGCGTGAACACAGCCTTCATGCATATCAGAGTGGATGTGTTTTTCAGTCTGAAGGTTGCACGTGCTCGATGGTGATATGGGCACCCCATGAACACATACAAAAATATGGCACACGTATCATTCTAGCCATCAGTTTCTTAAAACCTTGTAGCTGGGTTCACAGATCACATTAAACCTACAGCAGCAGAATGCAATGGCTGCATTAGCAGGATGTACGTTGATGCCCAAACAAATAAACCATATTAGAGTTTAGCATGATGGTCTATTTCATACAACATGACAAGCCAAAAGCTGGGATCACACAACATGCTGACATCCGAAGCAATCCCAGTCCAACGTGATTTGCCCAGTCATAGTGGCCCCATTCCACGGTAAAGAGCAGAGTTATTAAACGAAGGCCCACCTCTGTTGCATAGGATCCAGATCCAACTAATTCTGCAGAACAATTCCTACCTGCACTCCTCTGTCTATACCCGTGTTTCTCAATCTCAGCAACTTTAAGATGTGTGGACTTCAACTCCCAGAACTCCCTAGCCAGTATGCTGGCTGGGGAATTCTTAGCGTTGGAGTCCAAAAATCTTTAAGATTCTTAGATTTAG